AAGACGCAGAAAATAATGTGAGTACTCAAATATCAAGATTGAATCATGATTTGACGTATCTTCCACAAACAATCTATGACATAAGAAAAAAAAACTTACAAAAACCAGACAATCAAACAAGCCAATCAACTTAAAGTTTACTTAGACTCACTTACGGACTTTTCAACTGTGTTGTTTACAGACTCACAGAGGCGTTTTGTTGGATGTTTCTGTATTAACACGTTATCGTTATGTGAATATGATAATTCTTGTCTGGTTATCGATGATACACATTGTACAAATAAGTTTTTCAAACCACTTTTTGCTGTCATTTATAAAAAGAATAACACAAGTAGATTGCTATCGTTTAGGTTTTTAAGAGATTCATCAAAACAAGCTTTTGAGGAAAATCTGAACGAACTTAAACGTCATTTTGACAAAAGAGGGTTTTCACTGATCGGGTTTTCATGTGATCGCTCTGAAGCACAATCTTCGGCTCTCTATACAGTATTTGGAAAACATGTAAAAATCAGACATTGTTGGTTGCACATTCACAGGAATTTAGAAAAACATTTTTCTCGTGATGATGAAATCATTCAGTTGTTTGACGCAATGTTCCGGGAAAACACGAACATTGTAAAATGCCGAAGCACTCTTCCTCGCAAAACTTACTTTATTAATCTCAAATGAAAATGTCCATTCTTTTAAAATTAAAGATCAAATGTCTCCAAATGATAACGAAGAATACTTAGACTTCCTTACTCTTGTGTTATCATCAGACATTTTTCCTTCGGAAAACATCAAAAATCGCTCCAATAAATATAAAGTACTTAAAACGCTATTTGATATTAAAGACACGTTTTTACCTTCTCAAGTGTGCCAACAACTATATTCCAGTTCAAATCTTGCAGAGGGATTATTTTCTCATGCCAAAGGACCGATCAGATGTAAAACACCCACTTTAATGGAAGCTGTTAAGGCTTTTGTTTTATATACCCGACAACTACAATTAAAGGCAACAACTTTTTCAGAAGAACAGCTAAAAGCACTCAAATTACTTGTCCCAATGGATACGTTAAAAATATAACTTCGAACGCAGTTGATATACTTTTAGATAACTTTGATACTTTTATTTGCATGAATAAATGTCCAGCCGGCAATGGAAGTAATTGTATGTGTAGTATGTATCAAGAAACTGGAGTTCCTTGTAGTCATATGATTTATTTTCGAAAAACGAGGTGGAGATGCATTTACTGATTCAAAGTGTCCACCAGGATATTTTAAAGATATCAGAGGTAATACAAGATTGATTGTAAAAGGCCCGTGTCGTTCACCACTGTTTTCTGAGTGTGATTTTTCTGAAACAAATTTTATTGTTCATAAAATAAAAAGTGTTCATGAAATCAAAATTGTAACAGAAAATGGTTTACTCAGTGAAGAAGATGTAAAGAAAAAAATTGTTTGATTTAACCCACAGTTTGAGAAGAAAAACAATATTTAAAAAGTTGTTGGACTGGTTGAAGAAATTGATAAATTAAAAGAAGATAAACCCGGTTATATCGAAGACGAAATTAAAGATCCAATGATAATCATGTGTCCTGGTAAAAAAAGAACTAAAACATCAAAAAACGTTGATGACTCGTTGTCAAATAGACGCAAAAAATACAAAAAATGTGTAAAAAACAAATTAGAAAATGAAAGTAAACCGAAAAAACTAAAAGAATTTTAGTTTTATAAGTATACAACAAGTAATTTTAATGGTTTTATCTTATTTTAATTTAATAAATAAACATTGTTTATAAACACGTGTTATAGAATATTAAACAATAAATTATTCAAAGTTAATTCGAAATAAAATTATATTTAACTCATATTTTACATTATTCAAAATGTTAATCTTTTCTTTGCGAATGAAACCAAAACGTTTTTCTCTTTTTAATGAGTACATATTATAGTTAATATAACCATTACATATAGTATTTTATATATTTCCTTTTTAATAGTAAACAATTTAGAAAAAATCTATCTCAATAAATTGTATACGTGTTGGGTTTGGGTTTAAATCTTATTCACCTTGATTTGACTGTTGAGTATTTGTTTAATGGACAATTAAAAAATTGAAAAAAAATATAAAGGAGTGAAAGGGGGTTGAAAAAAGGTACACTCGCGGGTTAGTGTTTTTATTTTTTAATTTCTGCAAAAATTGAAAAAATATTTAATAAAAAGTTCATTTTATTTGATAAATTCTGAGTTGTTTTTTTGGTTATTTTGATTTCAAAGAAAAGTTTCCAAATCAATTTTCTTGCTCCTCTTTTATCATTCGGCAAATCCAACCTTTACATTAAAAATAATTCACAAATTTCGATAACAAACATCGGCATCTTGAAAAAGTCAGAGAGACTCTTGTAAACCTTGTTTTTTGAACCAAATCAAGGAAAATAAAAAAAATAAACTATACAAAAAACTATAATCATATTATCATTTTAATGTTAAATTATCAAAAGAGGTTTTTTCCTGAAGCTGTTTTTTTGATTCCTTTATGAGGTACAATTTGGAGCAAATTATTCAAAAAAATTCCCAAAACAGCATATTTTTATTTAGTGTTTTTTTTAAATTGAGCAAAAAAATTTTTTGTGAATAGGATTATTTATTTTATCAAAAAAAGATAAAATGCCATTTTTTATATTTCAAAAAATGATAATTTAATTGAGATTTGTAGTTCTATTCATAAAAATTAA